GACCTAATGATTATTACATTTATAAAATAATTGATTTGTACAGTGCTTTTCGAAGCTGAGTTTGTTAAAATTGTTTAGCCGTTTCTTCATACAATTGAATCAACCAGTTAATCTGTGTTTATTTTCACTAATTAATTCGGGTCACCTGGGTAGCAGTAGGTTGACCCAGTTAACGGATCTTATACGGGTTACCAGGTGACTCTTATACGGATACTATATCTAGGTCATCAAATTTTTATATAATTTCGACCTAAAATCTTTTTTATTAATAGTTAATCACTGCAACTACACTATATGTTACATTGCTGTTCCTTTGTCTTAAATGATATATTACTTATAAAATCGACTAAATGATTTTTTTTTAAAAAAACGACCAAGTCGATAAATCAGTTAAAGCAATATTACTATATGTACTGTAGAAAATCCATCTGACTTTGCCTAACCTTTGCCTACCTAAACTATAAAATTCACTAAATTTTTAATCAGAATTGAAATTTTTTTTTTTAAGCACAAGTAAATGTTTTTAAATAGTAATTTTATTTATATGGTATATTAGTTGTTATTACTTTATTAAAAACATATAATAAACTTTAGTTTATATAAATTACAATAAACTAGAAATAAAAGTACTTGAAAAAGAAATGAAATAAAGAAAAAAGATATAAATGAGTATCCGTTAGTTGGTTATCCAGATCACGCGACGTGGACGCCGATACTCAGGTGATCCAAAAGTTTATAAAGTAGAAGTCAAAGAAAAGAAAGGAACCAATGCACGTTGTGACTTAAAACAACTGGTTTGATATACATTGACCAGCCGGGTCACGCGGGAGACCTATAGTAGAATAGTAGTGGGAGCTACGCACCTACCCGGTCGTTGGACATTATCCTTGCGCAAGTTCCCTTCGACAAAAGAAATCTAAATAAAGTGTATAAAAGTAGTTGCACATATAACAATATTAATAATACAGTAAAACAATAAAGAAAAGAATAAATAACAACAGTAAAAAATGAAAATAAAAAGAATAACTAACGAAAAAAAAAAGAGATAAAGTAATTAGATTGATAAGATCGATCACTTATAAACAAAATTTCATGTGATCTAAGTAGATTGATCTAACCATGACCATTGACCGATACTTTAAGTACGTATCATAAGTATCATAATATGATAAATACTTCTATATTGCTAGAAAAAGTGCATTTGTTCAAACATCTACAGGCCTATAATCGACCTGAATCATTTATGAACACTATCTTCTTGCTTCGGAATTTACGTAGCGATATGCCTTCTGAAAAACCTTTTCACCATAGAGCTACTCTAAAGCAATCAAATAAATCTTTTAAATTGAAACATGCCACAAAGGGCTCTCTGAAAGATCAACAAAAGGGTTAGACTTTATAAGTTAAACACGCATTGATAAATTCTTAAGTTCACAAATGTTAATAATAAAGGAAAGTCAAGCGTAAACCCATTAAGCAATAATTGAAGGACAGAATCGTACTATTGTGGTATGAATTGGACTTATAATTTGAAGTTCAGTTTATATTATTCAATTATATAAATATAATTAAATTTGTGTTACCATTTAGGCTGTTATTCCTTTATGTTCTGATATAAATTCACATAATGTTGTAGAAAATATATATGCAAGCGTCGAACAACCGGCTTCGATTAACGGAAACATTGCTTTTTTGAAGTATGAGAATATCTTTTTTTAACAATTGCATAGTCATTAATTAATCCTATACATAAATTGTTAGTGCCGAATTCATTATTTTGGAACGTAATTTCATTGATATTATTGATGCATGCAAAGTAGCGGATTTTATGTTATTAGTACTTTCGTCAAAAAACTGAGGTTGATCAATTTGGTTAATTATGCCTTAAAGCAATTCAATCACAAAGGTTTCCATCAATTATAACATCAGTTTTGGTATATTAGATTTACTTTTACTTTAACATACAATTTATTTAACAGAATTTATAGAATCGATTTATATAAAGCATTTTCACTTTATTTTGTTAAAAAAAGCATTTAGAAGACATTCAACAAAAGAAACGCAATGATGTCAAGAAATCACTTCTAAGCTTCATTAATTATTTTTTCCCTGACGAAGAGAAAATTCATGTTCAGATCAGCCACAGGTATTAGATTACTAAATAAATGATAGAATATGAAACTATAAATTTATACAATTTAAAATTATATAATTCTCGGTTATGTATTATCAGGAAGCTCTAAATATTCTTAGAACAATATGTACTCAACTTCCTAAACAAGTTTCATGGAGAGAGAAACGTCCATATACGCTTGCAGAAGAGATATCTTTTGATAGTAATGATGATGTAACGTATTTTCCTTGGTGTTTTTTTTTTTTTTTTAGTTTCAATCATGTATTAAGTTTTCGGCATAATACTAGAATAAAGGAACACACAGAGTTACAGGATACGCTAGAGGCTTAATACACTTGCAGAACTTTTGTGATTTTCAATTGAATCAGGTTATTTATATTTTGAATTTTGATTAGTTAAAAATAATTTATTATAATATGTATAAAATTGACTAATTTTATAAAATTTTATGGTTTAGATTACGTCCTGTCCAAAAAAATCCAAGGATGGTAGAGATATGGTAAAGATGTTTATATATACTCTATATAAATAGGGCATTTATTAATTAATTTTATTTAATAGGCAGAAGATATTAAAGTACTTGATATTGCAAATCCGGAAGAGCAGGCAAGTTACTTGCCTTTGGAATTTATAAGCTGCATAAGTATTTTGGCGCGTGTTATTTTAACGTACTGTATCATGCATTTTAGGAATCCCTAACTGCGGAAAACGAACCAAATTTTATGGAAAATGAGCAAACATGGCCAACTGAAGAAGAAATTACCGGCAATGAAGGTGTGCAAGAAACAATATAATTATTAAATAGGTTATATAATAAAAAAAACTTTAATAATAATCTTGAAGTTTCGTACCTCACCATGGGATCCAAATGAAAATTTACCGATTGATTATGGTCAGTTTGAAAATTATAAAAGAACAAAAAGTAGAGTTATCAACCAGGCTGTTGCCCATGTAAGCGGTGTAAAGGTTGGTATAAACATTTATTTTGTATATTAAGGTGTACAATCTCGACATTGTATAATTTATAAATACTTTTTTTTTCCGGATACTTAGATTGGAGCGTATATTACTTTACATATAGCCAATGTTCCTAAAGAAGTAATTGGTAAAAAGTAAAATTTAGAAATTTAAGTAATGTTACTTGTTTTATAATTTAATTAATTTATAATTTATTGCATTCATTATAGAATTAGAGATGTTATCGAAGCCGGCTCCAGCCGCGGCTTTATACCAGAGCCACTATCAAGCCAAGCCTTTAAAATCATGGCTTGAATCAGAGAAGTATGGCTTTCGGCTTGGCTTTCAGCCATAACCTGAACCAAGCTGATAAACTTTAGCCATGATTTTGAAGCCGCTTCAGACGTAGCCGATTTAAGTCCTGTAGCTTCATAATAGCTTAAGCCGTAGTTAGCAGCGGCTCAGAAAACTAAGCCATGACTTAAACGGCTTGGCTAACTCAAGCCATGATATATGCATGGCTTGGCTGCGTCATGGCTATTTATGCTATGGCTTTAGTGAGCTAAGCCGAGCCATTCCAGCCGATTAAATCTCTACTCCGAATGATAATGTGTTAGTTCTGAATCAACCTTCGAAACGACTATAAAATTTTGAAGTTACAGTAAGAAATTTACGTGCCATTCATTATAGTGAAATGATTTATATGAAGTGAGCAGTAGATTATTATCATAATTAATTAATAAATACTTTTAACCGAATTTCGTAACTCTTACACATTAAAGTCACTCTCGTTATAATAAACTCTCAATAAAGAAATTTAAATTACAATATTATTAAACTTTAGACCGATATAATAAATTGTAATAATCTCTCGTTATAAGCTATAGTAAAGATATTTTTTTTTCAACCCGAAAACCTATAACGAGAGTCACTTGTATATAACAGATAATTCCCCATAATATACGCCATTCATTATTGCTTAAAATGATTTATCACATTTAAATAAGGATGGAAAATTATTTAATATAAAGGGACTATTTTTATACCCTACAAATTACAATTTTTTTTTTTTTACAACTTTGAACGAAGATATCATGACAATTACTTGATCAAATTCAGTAAATTTTTTATTTTAATTTAATTCTATAAATTAATAAAATTAAAATAAAATAAAAATTTTATTGAATTTTATTAGGTAGTTGTCAAGATATCTTTGCTCAGAGTTAGTAAACACTTCAAAAATTTTGCAGCTTTAATTAAAATAAGATAGCATTTGTGATGACAACAGCGTATATTATAATTCGGAAGATTAAATCAATATATGACAAATTCTTTACATTTTTGCCGATGCGATGTTTTTTGTCTACCTTCATCTGCTGATACTCTATTGTCTGGCACAAATTATAAAGATTATTTAAATGGAATTCAAGCAATGTTATAAGCCTAATTGGAGAATTTCACGGCATCATTCGTATATAGGAATCTTTATAAAAATTTTATCGAATTTTGTCTGGTAGTTGTCGAGATATTATCATTCAAATTTTTAAAATTTTGTATTACTTTGATTTTGATAGATATTTTTAAAATTTTATATTACTTTGATTTTGATAGATATTTTTAAATTGTTTATAACTTTGAGCGAAGATATCACGACAATTACCTGACCAACTTCAATTAAATTTTTTTTATCGAATTTGGTCTGGTAGTTGAAAAAAATGGTTAACAATTGTTGGGATATAAAAAATAGTCCCAAATAATAAATTTTAATAGTACGTTAGAATATTCTAATTCTAACAGTATTCTGCTGCTTATATTATAACTTTTTTTTTTTTTTTAACAAGAATGCAACAATATGTTATTGCGCTTTGCAAAAAGATGTGAACACTGCAGATCATTTTGTCATGTGAGAATCGGAGATTTTGCGATTTCAAA